CCTGCCTGATGAGATACAAGGGGAGAGTTGTGAATGAAGAGTGTGAGTGTTGTGAGTTAGATGAAAATGGTTTGAGCCCATTTTCCACATGAGTCCATGTGCCTGTCAACCAGAATATTAACGAGCTGGTTAAGTGGCACGTAGCTTACCCTGCTGACAATCTTTAACATCCTGCGTAATAAGGCATAGTCTTTCTTCAGTAGCCAGCCCTGAAAAAACTAAGAGGGAACAATGGAGAATAATAGGCAGAATGCAAGAGTTAACGAATTGTAGGAGTAAGGGTTGGGTTATACCAGAATGTCTTAACTTCTTGATGTAGAAGGTAAGATGGAATATTTTCTTAGAAATCATCAAGATATGAGACGACCAGGAGAGATCAACAGATAGAATGACGCCGAGGTATTTAATTTCCGAGTTGGTTTCTATTTCAGTGCCATCTATGTTGCACACCTCGTGAGTACTAACCAGTTTGTTTTGGTCAGATTCATGCCTTAAGGTGAAATTGACTGTTTGTCATTTGGAGGGATTTAAGGTGAGACCGTTTTCCTTGGACCATTGGCTAATTTCCGATAAGAAGCCATTTAGTTTAGAGCAGTCACTTTGACATTTGACAGGCAAAGATACAGTCGGGTCGCCAGCATATTTGACAAAGTTAATGTCATTTGAAGGCGGTAGGTCATGTAGAAAGAAAAGAGAAGTGGGGAGAGTACAGCACCTTGGGGGACACCAGCTTCTGTGAGCACAGCAGAGGAGGATTGGCCTTTGTATACGGTGTACTGCATTCTGTTTGAAAAGTAGGAATGCAACCAGTTAGTGACCCAGGACTCAGTTTGTGTCATGGAGAGCTTATTTAGCAAGAGACATCTAGGTATAGAGTCGAAAGCAGAAGTAAAGTCAAGAAACGTGCAGCGGACATATTTGGCACCTTTGTCTAATGATGAGATAATACTGTTGTGTAAGACGGCTGCAGCGTCTAAAGTGCTCCTACCCTGTCTGTAGGCAAATTGTTTGGGGCCTTCGAAGCTTTTAAGGGAGGGTTCCAGTTTAAGAAGTACTAGTTTTTCCTTGAGCTTTAGAAACGGGGAAGTGATGGCGATGGGTCTGAACTTTACGTTCTTGCTATTTCCAGGTTTAGGGACAGGGACTATTTTAATGTCTTTCCATGGAACAGGTACAACGTTTTCGGAGAAAGAAGCATTTAGGACATAAGTTAGAGGAAAACACAAAGCATCTGCACATTGTTTTGGAACATATGCAGGTATGCTATCAGGGCCAAGACTATGTGAGGGTTTAAGAGTTTTAAGACATTTCAAAACATCGAGAGTATTGAAGTCCTGGAAGTTATCAGCTACAAGATTAGTAACGTTAGAAGTGGTTATAGTAGAAGGAGAGCGTAAAAAAGACAGATTAAGAGCATTAACATCACAAGAGGGGAAGACATTACATCGCTTACTTTTGCCAGTAATTTCATTGAAAAATTTCCACATGCTGTTAGGAGATTTGCATGATAAAAGTGTTTGGTTATAGATAGCATTAAGATTTTTGATTTCAGATTTGATTTGAGCATTATTCTTTTTAAGTCCTAACTTGTCTTTGCATTTATATAACATTTCTTTTTGCCTGCGAAGTTGTTTGATACGGGGAGATGAGAAACGGTCGAGGCGTTGTGAACAATCTCACACATCGTTGACGACCTGCGCCTCCAGACAGAGACCTCCTCTTGACAACTTGCAACACAATCGCCACTTGCTAGAAAGACTCTTGCAGAATGCAACGTGACCATAGAAGTACCTCACGATAATCTACGCACATCCTCTTATCTACTCACTACCAATTACCACTGAAATCGCTTGTCACTCATTCTACCTCAATTCTAGTAACGATGACGTATGCGAGCCTCAGTCGTTTACACTCTTTCTCCCCGGCGTGTGGGACCACAGCTAACAATTATCTCCGTGTGCATTTCATTCTCAGCAATAGCCTAGCCTCCCCGGCGTATACGGCCCATCTGCTGTCCTTAACATCAATCAATTCATTCACGGATGTAGAAGAGTGGACACAACCTCAGAAGTAATCACGACGAAAATTTTAACAAAATTACGCAATAATAGCAAGACACGAAAACAACGAGTAAACACAATGAATCCAAAAAACACCAATTGATATGACACACCACACATATATACAAACAGTACACACAAACCCGCTGATCATATCTTGATGGAATTCCCTTGAAGAATCTCAGGACTTACACCTGTAGGCCTGCAATCCTTCACAGGTTGACGATTGTAAGTTGTGGAATGTCCGGACACAAACAAGATTAACCAACAATTACAATAATTGGAACTCACACAATTATTTAACACAAACATATGTACGATCACTACATCAAATGTTGTGGATTCTGGCACGACAAACTACCCTTGAAGAACTGTAGGACTTACAGCAGTACGCTTTTTGTATTCATGGATCACTTTACTCGAGGCGTATGGCGTCAGCAGTCCTAGGACTAGTATTGGACGCTGTGAACAGGAATACGTGAAGCATCGCGACCGAGCAATCATCGACCCCTTCCGTATTCTTGAATAACTTTGTTGACATCATTTATAAACCTTCAGCATGTTTTTATGCCGACTGTCTGATCTCTGCAAGTAACACTTCATTTGCTTGTGTGAACTTTCTACTCGATTGTTAATAGCATTACCAAAAGTCAGCACATGGTCTCTGAAAGATGATGCCCACAATTTTCGTCGACTCATCCAACAACGTTGTATATATTGGCTAACACTAACATCCAATCTACTTATAACTCTGAAATAGAAATTAAATCTGGAAAATGAGAATATTAAAGGCATTACTCTGATCTACTTTTACACTGAACTAAACGGAATAAGTAGTTCTTCACAATGAGATTCCGTATCTGCAATTAAAATTTGATTGTTTTAAAAAATTTACTTTACGACAGAACGCTCGACAAACATGGAAAGAACACAGAACAATGTGCGCTTCTCTGCGCGTTAACTTCACTGTTGCTATTTCAGATTGCGCACAATCCATAATGAAAGTCTCCGTTTTAGAAGTATCTTCCATTATTTGACGAAATGAGTCCAAAATTCAAACTACATCACGTTTGAATTCCTTTAGAGCCCAAGCAAATAGAACTGGTCGCCCACGACCAAAATTATCCGTCACAACTAATTGGAACAAAGAATACCTGCATGCTGATTAATGAATCGGTAAACTTACTTCCCTTTATTTGTATTATATGTAGAGTCGATACCAACAACCTCCGGGAACTGTTTATACAACCCAATTTGCTCATAAGTTAAAGAACAGACACTTGTTAGTGAATTCCTGATCGGTTCATCTGAATAATACTCCATTAACTTCCCGCGGGATTTGAGGAATTGAGAAATGTCACTGCGGGTCGACATACCCTAAGTAATTAACAAAAACGTCAACGTTACCTTTATTAACTGAGGCTTTCAGGTTTTTAACGTCATTACGAATTATGTCCTTGTGGAATTTTTTCTTAGCATACATCATTACTGTATCGGATGAGCGGGATTGCTGAAGAAGTGGTTCCACGTTTTCTTTCTCTTCCACTGTTAGTCATCTACACCATGGGTCACTCTGCATGTACAACCTGCTGCATGGATGGTTATGCACCATTTTGTAAGGAGTAATTATGTACTCACTACAATGCAAAAGCACGAGAAATGAAGACGAACAATTGCAGCATTTAGACCTTAAGTATCATTCTTACGACGAGTGACTCCAAAGGTGCATTTAAAATCAACGTAAACGTACTTAAATCCGTCATCCGCTATTGTTTTGCTTTGAATATGAACATAGTGAGTGCAGGACAACTACATTGTCAGCATTAAATGACTTCCTCACTTTTTGAAATTCTCTTAATGATTTCTCAAATTCCTCCCAGCTGGAAAAACGCCTTCTAAGCATTACTTCACTAAAAATTCCACTTACGTCAGCGCTGTTTTCACTCCCATTGAATACTGGGAATGAACTCCTAAAAAGGCTTCGTCAATTAGTATCCATCTATGTCACAACTATTTCAAGATAATTCCGTAAAAATAGTAGTACTGAAATACATGACTGACCAATATCCATCAAGAAAATAACGCACGTATAAACTAAATTCTAGAAAAGCAAAAGAACCCACGAGTTCCTTGACATCGCAAGCAACGGGGTATATGGCAAACCAAGCCATGCACAAAAAGGCAAAGCAAAAAGTTAGGACAGTCACAGTTAACATTTATATTCATCACATCTGCTGGCAAAGAATGCATGATGCAAGTACACAAGGCTGCACACGACATCACCTACCAAGGAACAATCAAATATGAAGCTGACCGCCACTGTTCTAACCAACGAAAGACGAGAAAACCTGAGGCGCGGAAAATTTAACACGTAAAAACTTATATCCTCATCAGAATAAAGAGTCCAAACCCGATGTAATTAGCGCCCTTCCCAAGGAACCATCAATAATGTCCTTCAAAACTGGAGTTTTAGGTTAATTTAATTCATGCTTGCGAAAAGAAATCCGTTTACGTGTTTTATCAATAACCACGATAATATGATTGGATAAAGCCATGTCAGAAAGTGAATCCCTAGAGATGCAAACTGCTACTACGAAGCTTATCAACCTACAATCATTTCTTCAAAGCTAGAACTCTCACGTGGCTTTATACAACTTTGAGAGAATTTTTTGCTGTAAAGGATGACAATATGGGTCTAGGATATATGAAACAGGTGAAACAGGAAAGTGAAATAAGCCATCTCAGACGAAACCAACTTATATAGAATGAAATGTTGATCAAATATAAAATCATTTAACCGCACTTGGAAATGGGCCAAAATTATACCTTCGTAATTTTCTTGGGCAAAGTGGACATCTATACACTTGAAGTAGAATTAACAAATGTTTATGGGACACTTTCCCACTTTACAGTAACTTATATGACAGCTTTGTCAAATAACTGGTCACAAAATTTTCACGAGGAGTGTATCCATATTATTCATATCTAACAGGTACCTTATAAAAGTGCAGGAAATGCTGAACTAATATTACTGTTTAGCTTGTTAAGTAGCTCCATTGTTCTGAATAGCTGGCCATAGTTCAGACCATTGGTGCAAGAAAACTTTCTCGTCACGCCGAAGGGCAATGCTTTACTTAAGATGGTATCTGATTTCTGAGTACGTGCATCATCTATAAAAATTGGAAGTTATTAGATGACACTTTTCTCCACAATCTTCCCTGATTTCATAATCCTTTTACTAATTCTTTTTGATATCGATTTGAAACAGTCTACATCAGTTAAATTTTTCGTATGTTTTGAAGCAGTTAATTGCAAAACACTAAGTTTTAATCGGCTTATGCAATCAAAAAACCTTCACTGCACAATGGCGCGGTGTTTCAAAGTCCTTCTTTTTGGCTCATAATGTTTAAGTGTCTGCCAATCATCGGGCCTTGTGGAAGGCATGTAGATCACATTGACAGGCGACATTCGAAGCTCGAACAAGTTCCGGATGATGTGATGCGAAATTTTCGCACTCTTGAAGAGTGTCGTCTAGATGCTAATCAGATTAAAGAGTTGCCTAAGGTAGTTACTACATTATGCTAATGAGTGTTAATTAAATTTACTTTAGAATTTCTTCCGCCTGAAGCGAATCCGTCTTCTGACGCTGAGTGATAATGAGTTAACTCGTTTACCTACTGGGATAGGAAGCTTTTCCAACCTTGTTGAACTCGATGTTAGTAGAAATGGTATGTATCAGATTATATTTTCATGTATTTTCTCAGACATATCCGAGCTCCCAGCAAGTATTCGTTTCTGTGATTCATTGCAGAGTTTGGATGTGAGCAATAATCCTTTGCAGAGGTAGATTCTCAATTACTGTGTTATTTATTAAAACCTGAAACTTTTGTGTTTAACACCACTCATGTTGAGAATAATTCCTTGTATCCATTCATCTTTTCATTCTCATATAGCAGTTTATTTATTATCTTTTGAGTTTATATCCTGGTCAAAAGACCCGTTTCTGTTGGTTTTGCTTGAGCTTTAGTATTTTCAAAGCTGAATATTATCTCTAGGTTTATAAATAGGACTACGTTCCCCTGAATTTTTAAATATTTGCATTAATTGGGTTTGTTTCAGCCTGCCTGCTGGGTTTTGCCAACTACGTAATCTACGAGTTTTGTGTCTTAATGATATTTCAATTGGTGAGCTTCCTGAAGAAATTGGCAGGTTGGTTTTCAGTCATTTTTTGAGATTATTACTAACTTGCGTGTGGTAGTTCGTGTCTGCTTTTATGTCCAACGTCGTTTTTCAATGTGAATTAATGATTTTACACCCCTCGAACGAAGCACCATGTCTGTCATCCGAACTTTAATTTGTGTAGTCGCATATATATATTGTCAAAGGCGTTGAAGATTGAACAATCAATTCTTGGTTGTTTGCTCAAAATCAACTTCCCCAATTTTCGCGGAGGCATCAATACGACAGTCATCGTCTCATCGGTCGCTGTTCAGAAAGAAGAGTGAAACATCGTCAGAAGTAATCTTATGATTTATTATTGTAATATTTGTTTTCAGACCTTAGTTCGCTTATTCCTTTTATATGTTGGTGTAACAATAAAGAATTCTCAAGCGGCAGATCAGTGTTTTGGTTTTTGCGTCCGTTATAACTAAGCGTTTCTGAGAAATCTTCTAAGAACAGCGTGGGCCCGAGCGTAGCGAGAGCTGGGCATTAACGGTTTATGAGACGTGGCTGACAGTTTCTGACGATAGAAACAGATCTGGCGGATTCAAACAGTTGGTGAAAGTTTGGATAGTCGCCGTTCATTTTTCCTGGTGCCGGTCAAGTCCTCTTTGAACAAGCAATATCTGGAACTTTTTGGAATTGGGTCAAGTTCAACAATGCCTGGGTCAAAGAAGGGACAGAGTGTCTTGGATGCAAACAGGAAAGTAAGTCATGGTGACTTGTCTGTTAATTGTAACGATGTGTCTGATGTTAAGTATGACATGGTTGATGTTACTGTTTCGCCGTTCAGGGATAATAGGAACATCAAACTCCCTAAATTTGAACCACGATGTTTTGATGGAAACCCGGCTGATTATTTACAATTTGTAAAGGAGTTTGAGATCATGTTGAGTGGTTTTTTATTAAATGATGAATTGAAGTTAATGTATTTGATGAGATATTGCACTGGAGATGCTGCAAGAGCTATACAGTGTTGTAAGTTTATGAAGCCAAAAGAGGGCTACTACGAGGCTATGAGCATATTACGTCAAAGGTTTGGAAGACCTTCGATGATTGCAGGGAAATTATTCGAGGCTGTTAAGGGTAATGGTGGTCAATTACAGGATGACTCCCAGGCACTCACTGAGTTTTTAGATAATTTGCTAATTTACAAGAATGGAATGATTTCGATGAATCGCACGAGTGACCTCAACTCGAGTTTTATACTAGAAGTAATAGCAAGACGTCTACCTACTCGACTGCAAAGGAAGTGGGTGAAGATGAGCTCCCGTATGGAGGATGAGGGTATCGAGCCAAAGTTTGATGATATCCTGAAACTGGTAAAAGATAACGTCAATCAATCTATGAGCAAGTTCGCCAGTCTATTACATCTCACCCCTAGAATAGAGCAGTCTGAGATCAAAATGCAATCATTGATGACTAGAAGGCCTCAGAGAGGTGGATATCGAGAAGCTCCATGATGTCTAGTAATGCATATAGACCTAGTGAGTGTAACAGGTTTCGTAGTACATCCTCAACAGATAAGTTACAAGATGCAAGACAAACACGGTTGTGTTTCACACGTTTGCAAGAGGTGCATACAGAAGTGAACTGTGAACCGGTGAGCAAGTTCAGTGATAAGCTAAATGTAAACTCCAGGCCTGACTCCGAATTGTGTGACGATAACGGTGTTGTGAAGAAGTCTGTAGTTGCAACTGGTAAGCCATTGTTGAATAGAGTGTCACAGAATAGAGTTACTGCTTCAGAGTGGAGTTCTGACTCCAAAAGTTTACAAGGTATTACTAGTCAGAGTGAAGATATAAAACCTTTAATGATTTGTGAGGAGGAACCAAAATTGTCTACTTCTGTTATTAAAGAGTTTGAAAATGATGAAGTTGACGGTAAAGTGAATATTCGTGATAATGATCATGATACTTCACAGTTGTCTTTGGTTGATCATTATGAGATGAGGGATATGCCTACTACTGCTAAGTTAAATAAAGGTTCTGTACAACTACAACGTGAAGTAGAATTGAACGCAGATGCAGTTCCAATAGGTGTGCATACTTGTGAGACCGTCAGTGTGAGTGATCAGCATGTAGCCCACCTATCATCAGATGCTAGTGTTAAACCTGAGCTGATAGTAAAAGACAGCAGTGGTGGTGGTCTTGCAGGTAGACAAATTTCTGAAAGTCGAGGAACAACAGCTTCTGATCCACCACTAACTTCATCAACTGATATCAATCAGTCGTCGTTGGTGCTGTCATCCACAATGAAACAGACACCCATCAACTCAAGTATCTTGTGCAATGACTATGCTAGTATCAGTTCGTTTGAAAGGACGAATATCAATGGTCAGTTTAGTGTGGATAAGCCAAGTGTAAAGGAGAGAGTTATTGTTAAATTGACTTGCATGAATAAAGGCATTTCTAGTTTCAAGTTACTATTTGAATGTTATTATCTTTGGTGTAAATTACTCTGTTTCTATACTTGGTTGATGAGATATGTCGTGTGTTTGTTGGTCATCTATATTCTACGATACAATGACATGGGCGTGTTGCCGTTCAGATTTGAGGATATAGCTGATAGAAGGAAGTTAGCAAATGAACTCTGCGACGATTTTCCAACCTAGAGCGTCAACCTGAGAAGGGTTGTAGGCGTACTGGTGTAAGTCCTACAGTTCTTCAAAGGGTAGCGCATCAATGAGCAGTCCAATGTGCTTGGTGTATGATCTTGTACATATGTTCATATTGTATATACTGAATTGATATCATCTGTCATCTAGCTGTTGGTAATTCTGTTTGTGTCCGTACGACTTCCACTTGGATCATCAACCTGAGAAGGAATGTAGGCGTACTGCTGTAAGTCCTGCAATTCTTCAAAATAATTCCACCAAGACATGATCGGCGAAGTTATTTGTACTGTTTGTGTATACGTGTGGTGTGTCTTCACAATTTGTGATTTTGGATCAGTTGTGTTTACTCGTTGTTTTCGTGCCTTGTTTTTATTGCATAATTTTGTTAAAATTTTCGTCGTGATTACTTCTGAAGTTGTTTCTTGTCTTCTACATCCATGAATGAATTGATTGATGTTAAGGACAGCAGATGGGTCGTATACGCCGGGGAGGCTAGGCTATTGCTGAGAATGAAACGCACACGGAGATAATTGTTAGCTGCGGTCCCACACGCCGGGGAGAAAGAGTGTAAACGACTGAGGCTCGCATGCGTCACCGCTACTAGAACTGAGGCAGAATGAGTGACAAGCGATTTCAATGGTAATTGGTAGTGAGTAATTAAGAGGATGTGCGTAGAGTATCGTGAGGTCCTGCCATGGTCACGTTGCATTCTGCAAGAGTCATTCTAGCAAGTGGCGATTGTGTTGCAAGTTGTCAAGAGGAGGTCTCTGTCTGGAGGCGCAGGTCGTCATTGATGTGTGAGATTGTGCTGTGGGTATGCTTGTGGAGTGTTGGCTTTGCTGTTTGTTTTCCATTTCAGCTCTGTCCGTGTGACCCAGCTTCTCGAAATGGCATCCAAGTCAACGTGTATTGGTCGTGATGGAAAAAAGGGATGGATCCCTATTTTGTTGGGGAGTGTCAATGTAGTTGAAGATTGAACGATCAATTCTTGGTTGTTTGCTCAAAATCAACTTCCCCAATTTTCGCGGAGGCATCAATACGACAGTCATCGTCTCATCGGTCGCTGTTCAGAAAGAAGAGTAAAATATCGTCAGAAGTAATCTTATGATTTATTATTGTAATATTTGTTTTCAGACCTTAGTTCGCTTATTCCTTTTATATGTTGGTGTAACAATAAAGAATTCTCAAGCGGCAGATCAGTGTTTTGGTTTTTGCGTGCGTTATAACTAAGCGTTTCTGAGAAATCTTCTAAGAACAGCGTGGGCCCGAGCGTAGCGAGAGCTGGGCATTAACGGTTTATGAGGTGTGATTGACAATATATATATATATATAGTCGTGTGATGGAACTTTTTTCATACTCACTTTGGTGTGCGAAGCAAAGAGCATGTATAAATATTGGTACGGAAAAATAATCTGTAGAAATAATTGAAATCTTGTCGGGAAATATTTTCACCAATATGATAACATGCTGTTATTATTTTATTATTATTATTAATAATTTAACAAAAACATATGTACGAACACTACATCAAATATTGTGGATTCTGGCACGACAAACTACACATGAAGAACTGTAGGACTTACACCAGTACGCCTACAACCCTTCTCAGGTTGACGCTCTAGGTTGGAAAATCGTCGCACAGTTCATTTGCTAACTTCCTTCTATCAGCTTTATCCTCAAATCTGAACGGCAACACGCCCATGTCATTGTATCGTAGAGTATAGATGACCAACAAACACACGACATATCTCATCAACCAAGTATAGAAACAGAGTAATTTACACCAAAGATAATAACATTCAAATAGTTACTTGAAACTAGAAATGCCTTTATTCATGCAAGTCAATTTAACAATAACTCTCTCCTTTACTCTTGGCTTATCCACACTAAACTGACCATTGATATTCGTCCTTTCAAACGAACTGATACTAGCATAGTCATTGCACAAGATACTTGAGTTGATGGGTGTCTGTTTCATTGTGGATGACAGCACCAACGACGGCTGATTGATATCAGTTGATGAAGTTAGTGGTGGATCAGAAGCTGTTGTTCCTCGACTTTCAGAAATTTGTCTACCTGCAAGACCACCACCACCACTGCTGTCTTTTACTATCAGCTCAGGTTTAACATTAGCATCTGATGATAGGTGGGCTACATGCTGATCACTCACACTGACGGTCTCACAAGTATGCACACCTATTGGAACTGCATCTGCGTTCAATTCTTCTTCACGTTGTAGTTGTACAGAACCTTTATTTAACTTAGCAGTAGTAGGCATATCCCTCATCTCATAATGATCAACCAAAGACAACTGTGAAGTATCATGATCATTATCACGAATATTCACTTTACCGTCAACTTCATCAATTTCAAACTCTTTAATAACCGAATTAGACAATTTTGGTTCCTCCTCACAAATCATTAAAGGTTTTATATCTTCACTCTGACTAGTAATACCTTGTAAACTTTTGGAGTCAGAACTCCACTCTGAAGCAGTAACTCTATTCTGTGACACTCTATTCAACAATGGCTTACCAGTTGCAACTACAGACTTCTTCACAACACCGTTATCGTCACACAATTCGGAGTCAGGCCTGGAGTTTACATTTAGCTTATCACTGAGCTTGCTCACTGGTTCACAATTCACCATTGTACGCACTTCTTGCAAACGTGTGAAACACAACCGTGTTTGTCTTGCATCTTGTAACTTATCTGTTGAGGATGTACTACGAAAGCTGTTACACTCACTAGGTCTATATGCATTACTAGACATCATGGAGCTTTCTCGATAACCACCTCTCTGAGGCCTTCTAGTCATCAATGATTGCATTTTGATCTCAGACTGCTCTATTCTAGGGGTGAGATATAATAGACTGGAAAACTTGCTCATAGATTGATTGACACTAGTATTTACCAGTTTCAGGATATCACTAAACTTTGGCTCGATGCCGTCATTCTCCATACGGGAGCTCATCTTCACCCACTTCCTTTGCAGTCTAGTGGGTAGACGTCTTGCTATTACTTCTAGTATAAAACTCGAGTTGAGGTCACTCATGCGATTCATCGAAATCATTGCATTCTTGTATATTAGCAAATTATCTAAAGACTCAGTGAGTGTCTGGGAGTCATCCTGTAATTAATAATAATAATAATGTATATTCTCATATAAACCTATAAATTCACATGAAAATGCATGCCAATTTTACAGGAACGTTCAAGTATGATATAATAAAAGACGGATTCAGCGAAGAAAATTTTCTTTATCGACGAAATCATCTTCAGAGGCTGTACAGTCGTATTTATACTGAGAAGAATGTATAGTGTTCTATTATTGAATAATAGGGGGTGACATAATTGCTGTAATTAATCATAAGTGAAAAAGTTGTAAATTACATGGTACTTGACGGAAAAAAGATAGAAGTTAGAAAAGGTTAAAATTGCTCTTGAGTGAGAATAAAGTTATTAGAGTGTCAATTTACCAAGTGTGAAGAAGGTGTGAAAATATATGAAATTGATAATAGTGAATTAATTATTAAAGCAAAAGCAAACTAAAAGTAAAATTAAAGATTAAGAACAAAATCAAAAATATTTTTTTAACAGGGAAGGATAAGTGAAGAGGTTAAGACCAAGGTAGAATAAGAGACTGGACAAACTTTTTCTGTATACAGAGATCAGGGTTGTATTGATGTATTGCCAGCGCCTCCGCCATACACAAAAGCCGGAACCTGACGCCTTTTGTACAATTTGGCTTCACTTTGTAGATGATGTTGAAAGACGACTCTGGTGGAGCTACGTGGCCTGAGTTCACCAAATGCTCGAGAATTGAGCTAGTAATTGTCTTGTATTGTCCCTTTGCTAACCATGCCGGATAATGTTCAGAGATGCGTTTGGAAAGCGTGCGCTTTGTGCGGCCAATATAACTTGCTCCACACGAGCATGTGAATTTATAAACACACATTGAGGTGGCCCAAAGCGGCAGCTTATCCTTTACACATCCGTTGATCATTCGTCGTCTGCTTTTTATGCAAATTCATTGAAGATAATAATGTGGACGTATGTGTTCCGATACACTACTTAAAGGAACTACTTTTGAGGTGCACTCTAAATGTCCAATTCAAATTCAACAACACGATATATAGACAAAGAGACGGAGTAGCAATGGGGTCACCACTAGGTCCTTTACTTGCAGATTGCTTCTTGGCCAGTTTGGAGAATAGTATTTTATGGCCTACTATCGACAGTTTCCATCTGTACCTAAGATACATGGATGATACCTTCATCATATGTGACGACAATACTGACGTCGAATTGATAACTAATGAGTTCAACAGCTGCCATCATGCCATCAAATTCACGTCGGAATCAGAGATTAACTCGGAATTCCACTTTTTGGATGTTTTTCTAAAGAGGAGATCTGATGGCTCTCTTCAAAGATCGATCTACAGGAAACCAACATGGAATGGTCAGTACACAAATTTCCATAGCTGGGTCCCTTTAAGAAGAAAGAGAAATTTGATCCATTCCTTATCCTCAAGAATAAGGAGGATATGTTCAAGTGATACAATCGATGGGGAATTGGAGCGACTCAGACAAGTTCTCTTAGAGAATGGATATCCTCCAAGATTCATCGAGAAAAACATGAAGCTAAGAGAAAAGCCCGAAAGAATTCAGACTGTGCCGAAGAAACTGCTCTTTATGAGTGTTGAATTTAAAGGTGATACTGCAGCTGAGATCTTGAAGAATCGCTTACGCAGATCACTGAGGAAAGCCTTCTTTATGGCTGAGCTACGTATCAATTTCTACAGCCGACGAATGATCAACGGATGTGTAAAGGATAAGCTGCCGCTTTGGGCCACCTCAATGTGTGTTTATAAATTCACATGCTCGTGTGGAGCAAGTTATATTGGCCGCACAAAGCGCACGCTTTCCAAACGCATCTCTGAACATTATCCGGCATGGTTAGCAAAGGGACAATACAAGACAATTACTAGCTCAATTCTCGAGCATTTGGTGAACTCAGGCCACGTAGCTCCACCAGAGTCGTCTTTCAACATCATCTACAAAGTGAAGCCAAATTGTACAAAAGGCGTCAGGTTCCGGCTTTTGTGTATGGCGGAGGCGCTGGCAATACATCAATACAACCCTGATCTCTGTATACAGAAAAAGTTTGTCCAGTCTCTTATTCTACCTTGGTCTTAACCTCTTCACTTATCCTTCCCTGTTAAAAAATATTTTTGATTTTGTTCTTAATCTTTAATTTTACTTTTAGTTTGCTTTTGCTTTAATAATTAATTCACTATTATCAATTTCATATATTTTCACACCTTCTTCACACTTGGTAAATTGACACTCTAATAACTTTATTCTCACTCAAGAGCAATTTTAACCTTTTCTAACTTCTATCTTTTTTCCGTCAAGTACCATGTAATTTACAACTTTTAAAAAGCACCTCTAAAGTCACTTATGATTAATTACAGCAATTATGTCACCCCCTATTATTCAATAATAGAACACTATACATTCTTCTCAGTATAAATACGACTGTACAGCCTCTGAAGATGATTTCGTCGATAAAGAAAATTTTCTTCGCTGAATCCGTCTTTTATTTTCTTCATGACTCAATGGGTATTTTCCGTGATATGATATAATATCAAATCGTATATTGTCTACAAGTTAATAATTTTTCAACAGTTAAATATTTGATATATATATATATATAAATACACATTGTCTGAACTAGTAACCTTAACAGCCTCGAATAATTTCCCTACAATCATCGGAGGTCTTCTAAACCTTTGACGTAATATGCTTATAGCCTCGTAGTAGCCCTCTTTTGGCTTCATAAACTTACAACACTGTATAGCTCTTGCAGCATCTCCAGTGCAATATCTCATCAAATACATTAACTTCAATTCCTCATCTAATAAAAAACCACTCAACATGATCTCAAACTCCTTTACAAATTGTAAATAATCAGCCGGGTTTCCATCAAAACATCGTGGTTCAAATTTAGGGAGTTTGAAGTTCCTATTATCCTGAACGGCGAAACAGTAACATCAACCATGTCATGCTTAACATCAGACACATCGTTATAATTAACAGACAAGTCACAATGACTTAATTTCCTGTTTGCATCCAAGACACTCTGTCCCTTCTTTGACCCAGGCATTGTTGAACTTGACCCAATTCCAAAAGCGTTCCAGATATTGCTTGTTCAAAGAGGACTTGACCGGCACCAGGAAAGATGAACGGCGACTATCCAAACATTCACCAACTGTTTGAATCCACCAGAATCTGTTTCTACCATCAGAAACTGTCAGCCACG